TTGTTTCATTGGTTGGTTAATTTTTTGTCTTCTTTAATTTGATTTTGCAGGAGAAAGATCTATAATGAATATATTAGACATTTTTACATAGTTTGCTTTTACGAGGTAAAATGATTTGACATGCATAATACATAGCCAAATTTTTCTTCATCGATTCATCATCATAGGAACTACTTAGGCCTTCAAACTCAGAATGATATTCACGAAAGGTCTGTTGTGGCATGCCATAGGCATACCCATATCTACTCGGCCCACCAATCAAGTCTAGCCAAACTCTCTCAACCTGTTCTTGGGTAAGTGGCATACCTCGATTTCTTCTGGTTAAGTTTGTCGTAAATCCTCCAAAACTTGAAGATATCGATTCAAAATTGAATGGTATTATTATTAGAATATAAATTTAGAAAATAAGTAACTATTAGTTTAAAGAGGCTTACATAGGTCAATTCAGCTCGCGGCTCAACCCACACGTCTGGATCATCGAGATTTTTCTTCTTTCTTATGTGTGTTGCCTTGAATGCCTCAGCCTGAGTTACCAATCTTCCTAGTTCCTTTTCCTACATATTGAACTAATTAAGTTATAATCAAGAGTAATTAAATATTAATACCTAAAATATATAAAAACTTACAGAAAAATGATACATACCAATTTCCTCCTCTTACTTCCTTGACTTTGACCCCCATTTGTGTGTAGAGAACCACCCTTAGTAGATGGTCTAGCCTTCTTACCGATCTCACTCATTTGCTTAAATCTTGGATCCTTTGCCCTTAACAATATCTTGTTTTTCATAATTAAAACATTGACATTTATTACAAGGACACTTAAGCACACCATTACGTTGAAAAAGTTCTAGTGTCTTTGCATACTCCACAAAACCAGTGACACCTTCTACAAATTCAGGTCTTAGCCCCATTCGACCAAAATTAGTCATATTATACATCCAACTACGATTCATCTACATAAAGATCACAAAAAATTGAATTTGTTAAATACTAAATTATGTAATAATTTACTGAAAATTAAATTGTAAAAATCCTAGTAGGGACTGCTTAACGAGGCCTTGTGCAA